TATTGCACTATGGGAATTAAAAGGGCAGGCCTTAAGGTAGACAATGATGTGCCGTTTTAAGGTCACATGACATTTGAATGTCCATCCAAAACTCTTTTTCCAACTGTTACCCTCACAGAAGACACCTGCTGAAGTGCTACAGAAATTGCTCTAACCTCATTTCTATACATCTCTTCTCAAGGGGGATTTTTTTTTTGCAGCATCTTTGTTAAGTAAATTAGTTATTTTTATTCACAATTTAACTTTGTCTATCATAGTTGTACTGTTAATTGTGAAAATATCAATGTTTCCGTATAGCAACGCTGTTCCACTGTGGAATTGCACTCTAAAAAATGCTGGGTTAAATATAACCCAGCGCTGGGTTAAAAAGGGACAAACCCAGCTATTGGGTTGTTTTGACCCAGCTATTGGGTTGTTTTAACCCAGCCGGTTGGGTTGTTTTTAACCCAACCGCTGGGTTAAAACAACCCAATAGCTGGGTCAAAACAACCCAACCGCTGGGTCAAAACAACCCAATAGCTGGGTCAAAACAACCCAACCGCTGGGTCAAAACAACCCAATAGCTGGGGTTGTCCCTTTTTAAATCAGCGCTGGGTTATATTTAATTTTTTAGAGTGCAGTATTGTATTTATTTTTTATTGTATGTATTTCCTCATTGGGATTTTTAGCATCAATAATATGATTGCAGTCAGAAAATGAATACAGCAATATTTTATGGAAAGGCCAATAGGAAGGGTGCAGAGTTAGCTCTTCTGTGTGATAAGAGTGAGGATGAGTTAGCCTTCAGTGAAGGTTGAATGATAGGAATCTACTTATTTTTGGTTTGCTGACAGGATTCCACATTCGATAAGGCAAACGCAAAAAAAAAAATCATGATATTATCTGTCTGAAACGTTATCAACGCTATCAAAAACAGTAGCATTTAACACTAGTACACAGAACAAGTAGGTTACAGAATGAAGTGAAATATGCAAACACTGGCCATGAAGAAGTCTATGCTAGAAGTGAAACAAAGTCATGCTAAAAACATTCATAAGAGCACTAGACAAAGTTATCATCTATATAGCAATGCTTATTAATGACATCTATAAAAATAATAAGTATTGATGCATGAATAATAAACAAATGATAAATGTATCCACCCCTAACCTATAGTAAAATGTTAACAAATTTTGATGCAATAAATATGGTCTAATTGAACAATGTCCATCCCCCCAAACAGAGAAACCATCTTTCACGAACATCTACATGTCTGTCTCTTTTAATGTTTTTAGTTGTATGAGTAGTATTTGTAGGTGTTATAATTGCACAATTCCTAACCCCACCCCAGACCTCACTAATTTTCAAACGGCCATGCTTTCACAGAAAGGCAAACCAAATGTAGAGGCGTGTCTTCTCTGATATTTACGGTAAAAGATGTTTTGTGCCGTTGCTTTTCTATCCTGTATGGTAATGTTTCTCCCTCCATCGGTGCGCTGCAGTACCGTCTTTCGGCCAGCGGGGTCGCTGCGCCTCCACTTTCCACGAGAGGACGTTCACACAGCCCGGAATGAAAGAGACGGAGCTTTGTGCCCGAAACTAAAAAAAACACCCGAACCCGACTCATGAATTAAAACGACTTGTCTGTGAGGTAATGACCGGGGAATGGTTAATAGGCGGTTGTGAGGCGACTGGGGTCGCTCGACGGAGTTTAATTCACACAGTTTGTGTGGGATGATCAAGTTGGTGGTCGCTGTTTGCCTCGCTGAGTGAACTTATACAGAGAAAACAAGTAAACAATTCAGATTTCTTACGGTCTAAAGTTAGGATAACGGGTGCAGTGGAGTGAGAGATATGGAATAAATGCTTTTTGGGTAACAGGAAGCGGCGGGTTGTGGTTTTAATAGGTAAATGTGAGTGTTGGCTGGATGTTTGTTGAATAGTTTGAGGCCTGTAACTTAGCTGACGGCTAGGCCGCTAGCCTCTCAAAGAGCTCTTTTACTCCCTGAGGTGCTTTTAAACGATGTTTTATTATCCAAGTAGTACGATTATGTCAGAACGTGCATAATATGTGGAGACCCTTGTCAGGATAGTTTTGAATGCATAGATAGCAGTGCGTTTTGGAGTAAAAGCGCGGGTCTCGTTAGCACTCAGGCTAGTAAGCTTCGTTAGCTTCGTGATTTTATTCGGGGTTTTTCCGCAAAATATCGTCTATGAGGTTTCCAGGTGATTCCACGGTTTTAGGGGGGTTAACTACACGCCCAGAGAGCAGGAGACTGGAGCGCATAATGTGTTTTTTAGTGTTTTTGTAGCCGTGTGGTGGGCTCGTGTGTTGAACTTTAGTGTTGTCGCCTATAGAGGCCAGTAGAGGACCGTCTGTCTGTCTGAAGAAGGATGATGATGGAGTTCCCGCAGCAGCCTCAGCAGCAAAGACCGGCGGGGGACGGAAAGATCATCTACCCACTGGGTGTCAAAGAGATCACTGATAAAATCAGCAACGATGAAGTCGTCAAACGACTCAAGGTAAGAGCCAGAGTCGTGACAAATGCAAACACGTTACTGAAACAAATATATCGAGCTCATTTTATTTTAGACTTAATTAAAAATGTTACCAATTAGAGTCAATATTGTAAAACTCTAGCACATGCTTAAACTGCTGCTCTAAGTATTATGTCAGTGGTTCTCAACTGGTTTGGCCATGGTACCCACATTTTCCCATTGTCATCAAGCCGCGACCCATTTTTTTAGGATATATATTAGGGCTGTGCAATATATCGAAATTGCATATTGAATTCAAAGAGTAAATACTAAGCAGTGTTTTATTTTTCCTTTTTTATTATGCAGTTCCTAAACTAATGTTAAAATGACATTTTTATGTAATGCTAGAGTAAAACACTACCGTTCACTTTCAGAAGTTGTTGTAGGGGTGCTTTCTTCTCACAAAATGTGAAACATGTATGCTAGTTATATTAGAATAAGAATCAGAATGAGCTTTATATTTATTAAGGAATTTGTTGTGGTTTTACAGGAACTCTTGGTACATACATACAAATAACCATATATATATGACACGATAGTTATAGAAGTTCACAGAACTGACTCAGCAACAGCTGAGTAAAACTGTTTCATCTGAGCATGTGGCACTTTAAGCATTATCATATCGCATATCGCATTTTTCTTCAATATCGCACAGCCCTAATATATATACACTGACTGCCTTTCAAAAGTTTGGGATCAGTAAGATTTTTATTACTCTTATGTCTCTTATGCTCGTCAAGGCTGCATTTATTTGAGCAAAAATACAGAAAAAACTGTAAAAATTGTGAAATATTATTACAATTAAAAATAACAGTGTTCTATATTAATATACTGTACTTTAAAATATAATTTTTTGCTGCGATCAAAGCTGATTTTTCAGCATCATTACTCCAGTCTTCAGTGTCACATAATCCTTCAGAAATCATTTTAATATGCTGATTTATCATCAGTGTTGAAGAAAAAAATGTTGGAACCTGTGAAACCTTTTTCAGGATTCTTTGATGAATAAAAAGTTACAAAGAACAGCGTTTATTTAAAATATGAATATTTTCTGACAATATAAGTCTTTACTGTCACTTTTTTATTAATTTAACACATCCTTGCTGAATAAAAGTATTAATTTCTTTAAAAATAAGAAAGAAAAAAAATCTGCTGACCCCAAACGTTTGAACGTGTATGTTGTTACTGATTATAACGGGAGTGTTTTTTTAAAGTGAATAAACTCACGCTAGACTGAAGTCAGTGATGTTCTTTGAGAATGTAAATGTTCTTTATTCGTTTTCTATAGCTGCTGTTTGAATAACTGAGGAAATGTAAGCATTTATAATTAGTAACTTACAATGTTTCTGTTAAATTGTTAAAAATCTAATTCAGTCATATTAAAAATATTTTATGACATGACATTCATAAGATACTTGACTAAAAAGATATAATGTGTAGTTAAGATCGCACTAACATTAGGCTGCTTTTAGCCTTACACTGGAGTTGGTTTACTCTCCGGCTATGAATCTAAGTAAGTAAATAAATTAGCATGATAATATTGTGTATCGGCGATCTCACAGGCTATGTCTGGAGCATATTGCCCAACACTAATAACTAGTAGTAAAGAGGAAGACACGATCTGTTCACGTGCGATCCACGCTGTCGCTTGAGCAGAGGCAGATACAGCGATCTGTCCTGCCACGTTAAAGAGCATCAAAATGACGTTTATTATTTGAATTTCATTATAAAATTGACAGTGTGTGAAAGATTGGACTTTAGTTTAGTGACATTTTGTTCACGCATGAACTGAAAACAGCGTTGACTAAAATATCTTTGTTTATAAATATGAATCACAGTTTAAAGAAAATTGATTTAAAATTAGAAATTGAGAAGCACTAGTTAAAGCACTAGTTAAACTAGTTTCAGTCCATTACTTTTTTTTAAAGCAAGGACTAAAATAAAGCAATTTAAGATGCATTATTATCAATTCTGGAAAGCAAAAATTGTGATAGCTAAGTCAATCATTTTTCCCCCCACCCTTAATAATTAGTATGATGTAGGTGCTCAGATTCATATAGTTAATTTAGGGATGGAGCTGAGAAATGCAACAGGTCTGCTGTAAGGATGTTGAAGGAGGCTGTTTTAAAGTCAGTATGAAATCAAAATTCTCTTGTGAATTATTCATCCATGCATTTATTTATTGTGTTATTTACGAGTGGGCCCTTGAATGTGCAAGGCTTTTGGTGTGAGGCACTTACACTTATTTTAGCTGAAAAATAACAGTCTGTTGTGGTGCAAGATGTTGCACATGGGTATTTATCATTATTTTAATCTGTTATCGTAATCCTAAACACACTGGTGTGCGCAATCTCGATTCCATTTCGATTTATCGTGCAGCCCTAGTGTGTAGTGCAAATAGCTTTCCCAAAGTCTGCTTTAAAAAAAAATGTATTGGCTGGAGAAATCATGTAGGCATGCCCCAAACTCAATGGTTGAACCAATGTTGCTGTGTCTGGCTGGTCAGGAAGTTTCAACAGACTTGGTTTTGTTTGATGGTATCACTGTGTTTTTACTCTTTACTGAAATCCAGCTCATATTGGCTGGCTTACAGCTTTGTTTCTGCATATTGCAATTTTAACATTGAAAAATTACACACTTTAGCTCTGTGTTAGGGCTGGACAATAATTCAATATCAATATGTATCGCGATATAATTTTTTTCAATAAC